TTATGACAAACGTTCCATCAATTATTCAAATAAAATCTGTGCAGGCGATCTCTTGGGAGAAGTGACCATGGAGGATGTTTCCTTGTGGTTCAGAGACTCGCGCATCAATTTCGGGGCTTCAGCCATTTGTCATGATACTTCCACTTGAGGGCCTCAGCTGCTCTCAACAGGTTCCAGCAGCCTGGCTTCGGTTCGTAGGTCTCGGTCAATGGGCCTCGGACAAAAAGGAGCCTTGGTAGATGGACTTCGGCTCGAAACAGTTCGGATGTAGCCCACCTCGACATTGTGTGCCAAGTGGATCGCCGTGAGTGGGCCATGGGCACGTGGATCGCCGTGAGTGGGCCATGGGCCCAGGTGGGTAGGACAGGTGTGACAACACGCAACAGCGTGTAAAAATGGAGAAAGAGTAAACCTCCATTATTTTATTTATTTTTATTTTAAGAATATTAAAAAAATTAAGTTGATTAAATGAAATCAGATTATTGTACTGCAAGCCAATGAAGGAAAAAGAAAGTGAAAAAATGTACGTTAGAGCCTCCGTAATTACGGAGGCTCATGCTTCAGCCTCCCATGGAAGCCTCCAGAATTCTAGAGGCTCAAGCATGAGCCTTTGTAATTCTGGAGGCCTCAACATGAGCCTCCATTAAACGGAGGCTCATGCTTGAACCTCCATAACATTACTTTATTAAAAAAAAAAAATTCATAAAAACATATTACTTTATAAAAATTAATTTTAAAAATTATATTTGATAGATTATATAATTTTGAAGCACAATCTAACATATTAAGATTAGAATCATTTCACGATAAAAATGAAATGGTAATAAAAACTTATTTTTCAAAAAATAAATATATTCATTTGTTAACATGTTTGGTCTTTATTAATATATTTATTTTTCGAGAAATGAATTTTTATTACCATTTCATTTTTATCATGAAATGATTCTAATCTTAATATGTTAGATTGCGCTTCAAAATTACATAATCCATCAAATATAATTTTTGAAATTAATTTTTATAAAGTAATATATTTTTATGATTTTTTTTGAAAGGTGAAATATAATAATACTAAAAAATATAAAATAATTAAATTTTTATTAATTTTAAAAAATAAAATGTTATGAATGCTCAACATGGAGGCCTCCGTTATTACGAAGGCTCAAGCATGAGCCTCCGTAATTCTGGAGGCCTCAACACGAGCCTCCATAACATTACTTTACTAAAAAAAAAAAATTCATAAAAACATATTACTTTATAAAAATTAATTTTAAAAATTATATTTGATAGATTATGTAATTTTGAAGCACAATCTAACATATTAAGATTAGAATTATTTTACGATCAAAATGAAATGATAATAAAAAATTATTTTCCGAAATATAAATATATTCATTTTTTAACATGTTTGATCTTCATTTTTTAAAATTTATTTTTTTTCAAACATATATTTATAGAATTCACACTTTTGCTCTTGAATTAGTGTGGAGAAATAGAGAGGTATGACTGTAGCGTATAAAAATGGAGAAAGAATAAATATGGCTCTATGACATAATCCTCCATGTCGCGTAAATTGAGGAAAAGCAACAAAATCACTATATCAAACATGTAAGATAAATGACGTCATTGCTTTCTCTCATTAAAAAAAAAAAAAAAAAGTTACAATGAGACAAAATGAAAGAATCTACTGTTCTTTCTACAGTAGCGAAACATTGCTTCCCTTTTTATATAGTAGTGATAAGTTTTACAGTAAAGAAATAAAAAATTTAGACATTTTTTTTTAAAATTAAAAAAGTTAATAGGATTTTTGTGAAATAAACTGTTTTTTTGCGTGTACTTATTTGTCAAATTATTCCAATCTTAAATCAACTTTGCAGTTAGAGAGCATAAGCGAATTTTTTTATGGGTTAAAGTGCTTGTACACAGCATGGTGTACAACCCCCTCACACATGAGGGGGCCCACCATTAATAAAAAATTGACGGGCAGCTGTACACCATGCTGTATAACATGGTGTACAACAAGCACGATTGTTTTTCTATTGGTATGCTTCGTATGCCTTACAGATCCTCATGAAGGCCCATGGAACTTCGGAAGTTTCAACATAACTAGCCTGAGTTTTTCATTACCAGTTCAGAGACATAAAAAGTTTGGAAACAGTAATTTAGATAAATAACCCTAGCGGACAAAATTACCATTATATTTTTCGGTTGTACTACAAGTATACAAATATTTACATTTACAAGAGATGTGATGAGATATAATTGGATCAAAAAAATTTTAAAAAATAAAAATTTCCATTTTCTTATTGACATCTTATTTATATGTAAACAATTATATAACTTTATTATATATAAATAACATTATTCAATACGTTTTGCAAATTATCACTTTAGCATAACTTGTGGCACTCTTTGGAGAGTAACAACTGGCCTTATTTTTATATGACGAAGGAAAATAGTATCGAGTGGGGTTTATGCTTGACCTATGGAAAAAACTAACCTCATTAGGAGACGTGGAGTACGTAAAAAGAATAAAATAAAGCCCTTGTTTGAGCCTCATATTTCAATCAAAATGCATTCTTTAACAGTGATTTGACCTCATTTTAACCATATATTTTTCAATAAAATAATATTAGTTGTACATTTATAATTTTTTTTTATTTTTTAATCACACATTTTTTATCAATACACTATTTTAAAATGCATTTTTTTGATAAAAATGGGGCTCAAACAAGGGCAAAATAAATTTATGAACACATAAATATATATTTCCTCTGGTTATTATTTTTAGTAATCTCTAAATCCTAAGTCATTGTAAATTTAGAAAAATAAAGTGAAAAGGTAGTAAAAGAACACAAATAAAGACTTTCCCTTCTATTAAAATCAATGCGATTACTCTCAACTATCAATTATTGAAGAATTTGTTGTTGATGTGTATTAAAGCATATCGAGAGTTGAAGAAATCAGGAATGAAACATGGAGTGAAACCATTTCAGTTGTTAGTTGTTACCATAAAGAAGAAGCCACAATAGAAAAGAAAATTGAAAGATTTATAAAATTCGAGTGTTCAATTTTTTTTTTTTATTTTTTTTTTTTTATTTTTTAATTGGATTGTCTTTCATTTTCAAGACTCTATCGGCATTTTTACTTTTGAGATAAATTTACTAACAGAGTTGTAATGTGCAGTTGGGCTCATTTCTTCTCTTTCTTTCTTTTCGATCTCTGCAACTTTCTTTTCTTTTCTTTAATGGATGAAAAACTCTCTCTCCCCGTGCTTATAGGGAGTGGGGTTGGGGGTCGACATCAGATTAGGGTCTATTTTGGGTTTTTTGAAAGATTAAAATTAGGAGACGTAATAATCTATCAAATGTATTTGTCAAACACATTGGTACGTACAAGAACGGCCTCATATATATTTTGAACTATGAAGATTATATGTGTCCCACTCTTACATACAATTTAATAATTTTTTGGTTCTCTCATTGACGATTTCCTTAAATAATACTGTAATGTTATTTAGCTTTAATGAAGTTGCAATCCCAGTTCAGGTAGTGCCAATGTGACATTAATTGATAGGTAGAATTAAATAACTCATTTAATTTTACCTATCATTTGACCCATCAACTAGTGGCACTTAAAGTGGGTTACTCAACATTATTCTAAACAATGAAGGGATAAGATCAATTAGTCAATATATAATTAAATATCCATTAAGAGCCAAGATTATCGCCATTAATGGGCATGCTCAACTAAATAATACAAGAATTAACCTGCTTGAACAAGCCCAAAAACAGGGCTAAATCCAAGTGTCGAGGTGGCAACACCTCGGCCCTTGGATCTGGGGAAAAAAAAAAGATGTGAAATCGAGGGCTGCGGCCCTTGGATCTGGGAAAAAAAAAAGATGTGAAATCGAGGGCTCCCCCTGTTTTTGAGCCTGGCTCAGTAGCACGACTGATAATACAAATGGCTTGTGCAGACCCAAACCTACTCCCAGGAAAAAAGAAAGGGCAATTCATTACCATTAATTAAATTAGAAGACTTATCCTTTAGACCAATAATAATTTCATGTTTAAACAAGTTATTTATATTACAATAATGCTCCTTGAACAAGGCTATTGACAAGTCCTCCTCCCCCTTCTTCTTCTTCTTCTTCTTTTTTTTTTTTTTTCCAAACAGTTCAATCATGTGTTGACATGTGTTTCTCTTATTTTTTAACCTCTCATTGAAATAGATTGTTTTAAAGTATGTTAAGTCAATTATTCATATGTTAGACACATTATTCACTTAAGTTTTCACCATTTCAATTTTTTACGCAACTTATTTGAGTGTTTCGTGACGTTATTAAGGCATCTAACCACTTAACTCATCTATTGTTTTCTAAACCTACGATAAAGTCGAGTGGCAAAGCAAAATTAAGAATTCTTTATGCATTTAAAGAATTTTAAGACTCTATCATCAAGATCCAAGTTATAAAACAATACCAAAAGTTTCATTAGGTAGGGTGGGGACTGGGGAGGGTTATCCAAAAGTGGTCTACACAGAAATCCACAGCCAGCAAATGGAAATTTAATCTGATTATTTAATTTTTATTAATGTGATAAAATTTCAGTAAGTAAGCAGTCAATTTGTGGGCCAAACTGCTGAATTAATTAATTTTAAAATCATTGAAACAAGAGGCTGCAATACAAATTAACCAGTACCCTTTTCTTGCAATGAATCCAATGTTTGTTTAATGGCTTTAGGTTTGTAATTTTGAGTATTTAAATAGCATTTGGTGCACATCAACTTTCATACATCTATAGAATTTTTAAGACACGAACACGAATGGTTGATGGTATAATAATACTACTTCAAGTAATCTCAAAAGAAATTAAATAAAACATATGTAAAGTCGACACATCTGTGGCTCCTTAAACTGCGTCAGTTGCATATTACGTTCAATCATGTTTATCAATTATATTACCATTGCTCTAATTTGATTATTTTCATGTTGATCCATTATCTCCCCTTACGATTTCACTAGAGTTGTAACTTTCTTCATAAGTAAGAAAGGTTCTTAGCCCGAGTTGACTTGACTACTTAAAACGAACGGGCATTCTCCAACTGGAACCGGGGGATTCGGGGGAAGTGCTTGAAGATAAAGTGGGCCAAGTGTGCAGTGAGGGTGCTTGTCAATCACTAGGTAGCTAGTCTTTACTTAACCCGGTCCAAGCAATGCCCAAAGACTCCCATGCCTTTCTTGATTGGACCGACCCAACCGGCCATTTCCGACTTCCTAATTATTAGTATAAAGGCATTTCTAAAATTGTCTTTTTAGATAATGCCACAGACAGTTGACAACTAACAATAAAAGACTAGCTAAGTAGCATATTAACCAGTGAAAGGCTTTTCTCTTGCAGTCAAGAAATCCATAGTCACCCCTTCAAGCCTTCCCTATTTGTCGATTCTTTCATCTTTTTAAAAACCCTAACCCTTATATTAATTTTCTACCCTATTTGTTCAAGCAATACCACCCCAACCCAATCTATCGAATCGAAAAAGTTTGCCTCATTTATTCACATCACATCACTTTTTTCGCTCGACAGCGAGCAGTGCCAATTCTAGACCGATCCACCAAGAAAATGAATACTACCATGGAAGCAAGTGCTGTCACTGAGAATGAAACAGGCCAAACTTTTGGTGGTTTGGGGTACGGCCTTGGGCTCTCCCTCGGGATCCTCGTAATATTTTTGATCACCACCTATGCCTCCTACATGTGCACACGTAGACAAGGCGGCGCCAACCTCCTCTACAACCACGACTTGTCGATCCACGGAAGCTCCACCACGAACGACAACTGGTGGCATCGACGAGGCCTTGATGAAACCACTATCTCTACCTACCCACAATTCATATACTCCCAACTCAAACTCCATAAATGTGAATCCTCTTCTTCTGCTTGCTCCATTTGCTTGGCTGATTATAAAGATACAGATTTGATAAGGCTTCTGCCTGATTGTGGCCACTTCTTTCACTTCAAATGTATTGATCCTTGGCTAAAGGTAAATCCCACTTGTCCCATTTGTAGAAACTCACCATTGCCAACTCCTCTTGTAGAGTTAATGGTAATTTCATCACCTACTCAATGATAAGGTCCTAATTCAACTCACTATATTAGCTTTTCATAAGATTCATACTTTCAAAAAAAAAAAAAAAAAAAAAAAAAAACGTCTTTATTTTAATCAAATTGTACATGTGTTATTGATTCAGTGATGGTTGAATTATTTCAAATTTGTCAATGGGGTTTTGCAGTTGTTTGCAAAATGTAATTGAAAGACATAGATTCATAAATTGTTTTAGTAGACATTTTCTTATCTCTCAATGATTTACTTCCTTTAATGGTTATTCATAAATATATGTATATAGTTTAGATTTACCAACCAAAAAATCCTCTAACCAACCAAAGAATATTGATAATAAGACTTAGTTTTTTGTTGCAGTTTAAAGTAAATTCACCATAAAGTTCAGATTCTTTAATAAATGTTGATATGAATGCTCAATAAATCTGATTTTAGGAATAGAAACAGCTATTGAGTCCATTATTTCAAGAAGGCGTGGCATGAAAAAAAATTCCAGCTTTTGCAAAATAAGCTGGACAAGTGACAATTTCAAGCTACGAATTGGAGACAAACTTTTCGTGTTAAAAGTTTTAATTTAAAAGGTATCTTGAGGGTTGTATAAACATTTCTTTTTTACAACTCATTTCGTAACAAATTAATATGATGTAACGTAATTATTAAAAAAGAAATGAAATAAACCCTCAAATTAATTAAAATAAGAAAGGATGCCTTGCTAAGCAAAAAAATTCAGATAGGGCACGGAGAACTAAGTTCAGGGTCTCATAAGATAGATTAACAAACTCGTTCAATTTCAGATTGATGGGTCATGTTTAGTATATTTTTTCTTTTTTATCTATTATTAATATTTATAATTATAATGTCTTGTGATGTTGGTTTGTCATGTTATCGACAATGTTTATCTTATTAGATTTTGTATTATTGGTTTTGTTTTATCAAACTAACAAAAATAAGCAAAACGATTCAATTATAATAAATTTTGTGCTCAGACCATCTCAAAACAATCATGAATTGATTAAAAAATTATGTCATATAAGTAAAAATAGACAATATTTAAAAAAATTGTCTTCAATGTCATCTGACGTGACAGAGAAAAAATAGACAATATCTAATGTAGCAACTCTATTAGACGAATGGTCAACAAAATTTAAACTCTCTCTTATTAAGCCGTTGTTTGGTAAAACAATCAATTTTAATTACATATTTCATGGATCCCATAATTTTGAACTATACATTTCATCAACTGTTATAAAAATTTACTGAAAAATCTGATTTTAATCCCCACCAAACAAGAGCTAAATAAATTTGAATTAGGATAATGCTACTAGTTGTCCAATATTGTAATAAAGTTTGACCCAACATCTACAAAATTAATTAGTAATCCAATTAATTCCATTAAGAGTTTGACGACAAGCAATGATTTTTACCCTTTCATTATCACAAAACCATAAAACAACTCAACACAATATTGAAACTAAAACCTCAAAATTAATATACTACGAACTAAATAAGATTAAAAGAAAAAAAAAAAAGAAGTTAAAATCTTGTTTATTAGGCCTATGGTTCGGAATTTGGTGCAAGATTTGGAGAATTCTCTTCAACAGTTACACTAACCTTTAGGCCTAATGCACAGTAATTTGAGACATTACATATGAAATAAAACACCCCTTTCTGCATAAGAGGAACAGTTGCTGGGCCCTCCATGAATGCCTTGTAGGGTTGATTTGCAGTGCAACTCTCCAATTCTCCTCTTGAAACTTCAATCACATTGTAAAATGGTGAATCAAAGTCGAAATCTGCATTAGATTTTAGTTTTCTTTAGGAAAAAATACTCCTTTCAGAACCAAGTTTTGAACTGGTAAAGGCTTAGAAATTTAAATTTGAGACTGAGTTTGGATAATGGATAACCCTGCTTACATTTTTTCATTTGGAAAGAAACCATGAAAGAAATGAGAAGATCAAAAGGCTAATAACTTTAAGCTACAAAAAGAAGAGAAATTAGTACTTACATAGAGCATCTCCAGTCCGAAAAGTGTAAGAAGAAGACCAGTTACTGTAAAAGTTATTTGTTAGAGGAATGGACCAAATTGAATCTCCAACAATATATTGCAAACAAAATGAAGTGCCCAATAACATGATTACTGCAAATAGAAATATTGGGACTGTGATTATCCAATTTTGCATCGCCATTTTAATGTGTCTCAGAGAGAATATGTAGCAGTTACAGTATTGTTTTTGGGAGGAAAATGAAAAGGTTCAAGGGCGTAACCGTTTATCAATCTAATCCAATCTACTATAGGGGTGGAACACCTCTCACTTTGTGTTACAATAAAAATTTCTTTATGGGGTATATTTAATTAAGATTTTTGCAGATTTTATTTTATTTTATTTTATTTTATTTTTTTTTATAAAGGTTTAAGTGTATTGAATCGAAACTTTTTAAGATGCTCTAAAAGTCTTGGAATATTTAATATAGTCTTTGAGAAAAAACCTAAATCGACTCGAAATCGACCTGCCATTTTTATTTTCCTTTTTTCTCTTGCTTCTTCTGAATTTTCAATTTGATTATCAAAACGGGTCTCCCGTTTTAGTGGCAACAAGGGATGTTTTCTTAGAGACAGAGAAGTTGTAGAGAGAGTAAAGATTTGGGGGTTTCAGTTTCCTCATGATTGTATTAAAAATCGCACATTTGAAAAAAAAGAAGTAGAAGAGGAAGAATGTGATAAATTCTTCTTCGTTGAATGACTTAAAAAATGTAGAAATTTTTTTCTATACTCCTCTTCTTCTTCATCATCACTTTTTTTTTTTTTTGGTACATGAATTCCATTAAATTTTTTGTTCACATATGTGTAATTTTTTGTATGAGAAAATGTAATTTTTTTGTGAACCATGAACACTGTTTAATCTGTAAATGTAAAGGAGTAGATGTTGATTTTTTTCTTGTTGTTGTTTGACTTTTTTGATGATTTTGATTGTTCATACTGTCATGTAATTTTGAATTTAAAGTACAACAAATGTCGATGAGATTATAGTTGGTGATACAAAATTATGGTTAAACTTTGAATTTGAAATATATTATTTCTGAAGGAACAAATGGAATTTCAAACTCGATGTCGTACATAATTTCTAGTTTGATGAGCGAAATGAAGAGTTAATTGGTCAAATAGCGAATTGTGCAGGAATTTGTCTAGATAGTAGATCAAATCTTGAGTGCTGCGTAACTCTAAATTGCATTCTGTTTTGTGCGTTGATCTTTAAATTCAATTATCTTTTCAATGAAAATATTATTTGCTTGAAGAACTTTTGTGTAACAAAAGTTGTACACTAATTTTCTCACTTCCTATGTAGTAAGTTCCTCATTTTGTCCTTTTAAGCCCAAACTACCTTCTTGTCCCATCAATCATTTTCTATTTCTGGGTGTAACCTATAAAATCAATATATACATTATATTAAGTTGAAATATATTCATTCCTTTACAAAATTCTAGATTCTACAAGTTAAAGTTTATGTGAAATTCGAGATTCTCCAACATTTCGACATTTCACAACATTTGGAGAATCTCGAAATGCTATGAAATGTTGAAAAGTTGGAGAATCTCGAATTTCATAAAAAACTTGAAACGTAGAATCTCAATTTCTGTAGCAGTTCGAGCATAATTCTATTTAATATAGTGTGAATATTGCTTTTATTGATTAAACTCCAAATTTGAAAAGAATAATGTTATTTGCAGTCGTTCACTACAGCAATCGCCCTACGTGGCATACACATGGCATGCGGTTATTTGATGCATTAATAAATAAAAAAAACTACCGCATTAATGTATCAAATAATCACCTGCCATGTGTATGCCACATATGGCGACTGCTGCAGTGAGCGACTACGAATAGCATTACTCATTTGAAAATGATTGATGAAAAAGATGGAAGTTTGCTCATAAAGGACCAAAAAGGGTAAAATGTAGAATCTACGTGCAGAGCACCTAAGAAAATTAGTGTATAACTTTTGTTACACAGATTTTCGCCAAGCATAGTATATCCTATTGAAAAGATAATTGAATTAGAGTTCAATAGGAAAAATGAATTGTAATTCAAGGTCATGCATCAAAAGTTACTAACATTTAAAATTAGACAGTCAAGCAAACTCAAGATTTGTCTTGCAAACTCGATATTTATTTGGCATACTCACTTTCACATAGAAAAATCAATATTTCCAGTTGAGATTTTATTTGCAATCTTGACAGATAGCTACAACATTCGATATTTAACCAATGAAAACTCGTTATTTCACCCATTCTACATTTATTAAAATTTTACTTTCACAATAAAATTCTTGTTTGAGTTTGCATGTGTATAATTCTCTTGAAAACTATTGGTTTGGCTTCAAGATTTGGGCACCAACCATTTGTACTATGTAATTTTAACCATACAAAGATTTTGGGCATTTTTAAAAAAGATTTTTTTTTTGTTTTTTTTTTTGGTAATTGCTCATTTTATAAAATGGTCACTTTTGCAAAATCTTCCAAAATTTGCCACATTTCGAATCCACCACCCAAAGTTTCCCCATTTAAAATTTTTGAACTTCTCTGCCCATTAATAGTTTTAGATTTCATCACTTTTGAAGCATTAATTTTCTGTAATTATGTTACCTCAAATAACAAGTTGTCACATAAAATGTCTACTGTGATAATTGACTATGAATATGATTACTCTTAGATTGGTTTGTAATTAATTGTTGGATAAGAAATTTAAGAGTATGACATATTACGTGGGATTTAGTTTCTTAGATTCATGTTAATTAGGGCATGAAGTAAATTTTTTTTTTTTTAAAAGAAAAGGAAATATTAAATTTGAGATCGTATTTTTCTTCAAATATACAGTATTTCTCAAGTAATTAGGTCTATTTTTATTGAATTTTGTTGGTTGTGCTCGGTGTATAGCCCTCTCACAAAAAGGAGGGCCCGCATCCAATAAAAAAATCGCGAGTGCCCCTCTTGTGAGCATTTAATAAAAAAAATCGCCGACCCCCCTCTTACGAGGGAGTGTGCAACTAGCAAAACTCATTTATATTCCATGAACACAACACATGGTAACAGAACCATTTCTGGTCCACTCCATCCGCCGTGCACGTCCTCCCACCAAATCGTTTTTAAACTTTAAAATCCACAAAAATCATTATAGCCGTTAACTCTCTCACTCCCTGTATTTTGTAACGCCTAAAAAATAAAGTAGTATCTGTTCTTAATTTCTCCAACCTATTAAACCCAAATTTACCTTATACTTCTTCCACGCTCAAATCCTTTGTTATCTCTGCAAATCTTGAATTTAGACCTCGTAATTTTTGAAAGCAGTATCCAGATGGAAAAAAATATCAAGGGGATGAAAGGGAAGCTACTAAAAAAATTGAAGACTTTCAAGACAATTGGTTACTTGAAGCCAGAAAAAGTTCTTCGGGTAAATGAATTGAATGAAAGCCTCTACACTTCATCACCGAAATCAAATTCCTCGGCTCCTCCTGCCCTCGTGCAAATCCAAGAAGCACCCAACAAATGTGTTGAGATCAGAGTTCCAGTACAAGAACCAGAGATCATTGATGTATCAGAGCTAATGAAGGACCTGGAAGATCAAGAAATGGAGTTTGACGATGAATTCAATGATAAAGAAAACGTTAGGCCAGCAATAAAGTCGAAGATCCCGAATAATTTTGAAGAAAAACTGGAGATTGTTCATTCATCTAAACAACAGAATGAGGTTTGTGAAACTAATCAAATTGTAGGAGAGGAGAGAGAGGATATTCCTCTGTCGGAGATTGATATATTATGTTTCAGGCAGCCGGATTTAGATTCTGGAACCCTTTTTGACCCTAACCTTCTTGCAGCATTTGAGCAGGCAATTACTGAAGTTAAAGCCCAAGAGGCAGAGAGAACATCCAGAATTGAGGAAAAGAAAAGGGGAATTTTGGATTATCAGGAACCAGTACCGCCACCGTTAAAAACACGGAAAATCGAGGAAGAAAATGGTTCTCTACTAGAATTCGAAGAAAAGTGTCCACCAGGGGGAAGCGATTCAGTTATTCTCTACACAACGGGGCTTAGAGGAATACGAAAGACATTCGAGGATTGTCATAGGCTTAGGTCCCTATTGCAGAATTTAAAGATTTTGTTTTACGAGAGGGATATTTCGATGCATTCAGAGTTTAAGGAAGAATTGTGGAGGATTTTGGGTGGAAAAGTGGTGCCTCCAAGGCTTTTTATTAAAGGGATGTACATAGGTGGAGCAGAGGAGGTTTTGGGATTGCATGAAAAAGGAAAGCTTAAGCCACTCTTCGAAGGAATTGCCATTAACAGATCTGAAGGTCCATGTGAAGGCTGTGCTGGAATAAGGTTTATTATGTGTTTCAATTGCAATGGAAGTCGAAAAATTATTCGGGAGGAGAACGTTGAATCCATAGATTGTTCTGATTGTAATGAGAATGGAGTGATCATATGCCCCTTTTGTTGTTGAATCATTTGCCTCATTTCCTCCTTTTTTGCCATTGTTATTATCAGGATGTATGGTATGTAGTAGCCAATTGAGCAACAAGATTTTAATTTCTCNNCCAAAATATGATCCAATTTACCTTACCAAACATGTCTCAGAGAATTGGGGCGTTATCTTATATGATTGTGATCTTTGATTTGTTCACGAGTTGTACCAAATGGAAGATTCAGATTCCATGTCTTACCTTATTTGCTTGGAGAGTAGCGGTCTGCTCTTTTCTTTTTCTTCTCTCTGAGAAATAAAGTAAAAATGTTCATTCACATGCAGATCAGATTCATTTTCTCATCAAGTTTTGAAGTGCACAATTTGTTAATTGAGTTGTACCATACACTGAATATGATTTTATGGTACAATAAAAATATTGTACCATTTTTATGTTTCTTAATACGATCAGTTATTGCAGATCTTGATGCTACACTAACAAGATAATTCTCTTGTTTCATAAATATAGTTCTATTTCTGTATTATTCAAGTGCAGGCATATATTGAAATGTTCATTATGTTTGCCAATATTTCCACTCCTTTTTGGGCATCAAATTAGTGACTTGTTAAAATAAAAATACTTGTACCATTTAGTCATGGCCTTTTGCAACAGGGAATATATTATCTGTCACCAGTAACTAAATCTTTATATGCTTTCATCTTGTTTTTAAATCTGTTAGAAGGGACATTTTGTCGCACGTCTGTCTTTTGGGCCAGTAGCTCCTCTGTGTTCATTGAAAGACAAATAAATCAACAATATTGGCTTAGTGTGTGAAATCGCCTTGCAATTGTGATTTACAAATAAATTTTGACTTGATACCTCGATTTTAATGGATTTCAGTTTGCCAATTTGGCAGGTTAAAACTGAACATAGGGCAACTGTTTCTTTCTGTCTCTTTCTTCTGTGCTTTTAGGCAGCCAACATCCATCTGATTATCCTGTATGACTATATCATCTAATTTCTTTTGAACCCTCTTGCATATTTCGCCGAAAAGTATCAAAAATTTTCGTCATGAAGAATGTATTCTGTTCTGGAGGTAAATTCTCGCTGATGAAAATATTTTTAAAACCATCCTACTATTTTTTGTTCAACTTTATCTAAATACATAATCGAACATAGTGCTGATGTTAAATGTGAACTCCATCTCTTTGTATCTTGCCCCCAGAAAAAGATTATCTGTTTTTCTATCAGACAAGAAAGTTAAGGAAGATCTCTTCTGCTTCTCAGTGTCATATAGGTTACAGTCAGCGCAACGTTAGAATTTCTAATATCTTGCAGAACGATGCATTCATGATGGGAGCTGTCATGCTTGCTTCTCAGACGACTACGAAGGTTCTTGCGCAAGATAAATTTAGTGATGTCATCTCTTATTTTCAAAATGAAAATATCATAAAAGGTGCTTGCTGAAATTGTTTGATGAAGAACCAGTGACTCTTCAATTTTGCTTCAATCAGTTATCGATTTTAGGATTGGACATAATTTACTGCATGGTACAGCTTATGCATGAAAAATTTGATGCTTGTTCATAAGATCTTAAAATCATTTGGCATATTTAAATGTTTTCTTTTTAGTGTTGTGTTTGGATTTGATTGATTGCATCCTATGTGATGTCTCCCATCCCATGTTTTCCAATTTGATTGAACCCTGCCTGGTTTAGAAGTGTAAAGTCGGGTGGACTCCCCTAGGTAGAGGCCGAGCACAACTCTTTTATAAAAAGGTTGAACCCCAACCGCCCCGTCCCTAGAGCTTTGTGAGGGAGGTAAATCGTGGGATGTGCCTCAACAGGCCAAGAAACAAGAGCTGCCTGTACACTGCGCCTACAAAGAGTCCAATTCCATGTCTCAGGAATCGAACTCCCATATTACGGCTGCCAGCAAGGCGTGAGATAATCTCACTCCTGTCTTTTGCACCACCCCGAGGGGTAATCTTTTATAATTAACATGAAATGTGGTACGCGGGGTTCAATGGATGAAATTTTAGTAGTTTGCTTTACCAAACATTCAACTGTTTTCTTTTTCTTGAAATTCGGGTTTTCAACTATGTAGCACAATGATCCCCAATGACAACAGAATGTCACAAACAAGAGAAGTGAGGGGTCCCCTACAGTTTCTATCTGTGATGAATGACAACTTCCATTTGATACAACTTATAAAAAAAAGGTTAAACCCTAACCTTAAGGGTCCCCCACCATCCCTGCCCTGGAGTATCGTGAGGGAGGTAAATCGCAGGTTATGCCTCCAAGGGTACAGGGTGGAAGGCTGTTTGTACACTTGCACTTACCCAAGAGCCAAATCCATATTTCAGGATTCGAATCCTTGACGCAGCAGCCTCAAGCAAAGCTGGATTTCTCCACCCTCCCCTTTTACCACTTGGAGATGTGCCCTGGGGGCTGATACAACTTATAACTTTCTTGGTAAGGTGGACACTTTAAAGGAAGATAAGGAAATTAAAATCTTGTGCCGCTCCTGATGTTTCTAAGTACAGGGCCACACTAGGCTATATACCTAAATAAGAATGATGCTTCAATGTTATACTGAAAAGCAGCAGCTTTGGTGCTAAATATAATCTAAGGGCTAAACCAAATGGGGATAATCTTGTACTAATTTCAATTACACACATGATCTGTTCATTTGTATAACAACGCGAGGAAAGAAGATCTTACCCTTTTATAAGGAAACACAATACAAAAATAACAGAAGGGGTTTAGACTATAATTCATCAGGTTTTGTCTCTGGTATATCAGCGACTGCTTCGACTATGGAAGACTCTATCGCGGGTTGTAAGTGCCTTGTGTAATGGAACTCGATTTGTAACCGATGATGAAGAGGTGTTGATGCCATCAATCCCTTTTTCAGATCAACTTGCAATTCCCTCAAAGGGATTGCAGCCAAAAAGCTCTTAATGTACTCTTTGCATGACTCTTTTCCGGTGCAGACAATCTTCGGTTCTTCTTCACTATTTCCTTGTGCATTAGTGCTGCTGATAGTAATTTGTCCTTCACAACTGCCCTCCAGTTCCTCCTTCTCATCGGTTATACATTTACTGTCTGATTTTTCAGGCTCGATATGTTGATGGATGGTTGTATCTCGATCAAATTTCAAGATGAATGCTTGATTGCAGCCCTCAAAAAGCCTCTCACCCAGTGTGTCGATGATGTAGTATGAATCTTGTTCGACCTTTAAGATGAAAAAGTGGTCATTCCAGCTGATAATGTAAACCAATGGGTCACCAGTCGGAAAGCAATCCATATCAGTTCGACAAATCTCATCCCAAATGTTGTCAAATGACATAGCACCATGGAGGAAATCACAATCTCCATTTTCTAGTCCTTCTGGATGGAAGAAGCCAATGAAGGACTTCTCCGGTGCAACAGAAATTGGACGAACTTTAGCCTGGAGAACTGTATCCAGGTCAAAATGCTTGTCTGGGAACCTTTCCCTATAGGTCTCGTTTTCACAGAGATTCCTCCACTCTAATGAACCTTCACGGATCAGGCTGTCGAGTTGGGACTTGATTGGCATTTCGTCAGCATTTGATTGTAACCAATCAGCAATCACGGCTACCAGGGTTGTACATGCACTTTCGCCTGCTGCTCTTTCACTCCTTTGATCAATCGAAGCAAAGAAAACTTGTGTTTTTAACTTCATATGTCCATCACGACTGATTATCTCCTTCTGCTCCCAGTTACCGACAGCAAAATTGTCATCTCCAAATGCGGAAGCCGATAGCATATTTGCAACATTACCTCCTTCTGTTTTCTGGCATAGTAAAATAGATAGATATTGTCAGAAGCAAGTCATGCATTTATCACGATATAATGTAATGAAGGAATAAAAGAAAGACACGAGATGGAAGCATACCCCAAAAGTGGATTCATCTGAAGAACTAAGTAGCCGGCGATCAAAATCAATATCATCTCCACCTTCCTCCCCATAATATTTTTTCAGTAAGGGCTCCCCTTTAACTTTAGGAGATCTGAAGCTTAGTTTCCTCTTCCTCCAGGGAAGGATTCTACGTTTTGAAGTCTGCTGGATGGACTGATCAAACATTTTCCCTACGTCCGATTTTCTATGGCTATAGTAGATCCAGTCCTCGTCTCCACTACAGCTCGTGTTCAAGTAACTTGTCCCAGCATGATTTGCATAGGCCAATGTTCCATAACTGAACGACTTCCGACCACCAGAATCTTCCTTCCCTTCCTCCGAGCTCCCATCTTCTGTGTCATCAAGTGATTCCGTGTCAAGTGGGTAAATTTCCTCGCTTCTGACCGAGATCCTTCCATCACTGCCCTCCTCTTCATTACCTGTCTTTTTAGCCCTTCGGCTAGATAAACCCCTAAAAATATTCACTCTTTTCAGACTGGCTTTGAGAATGGAATTCTCTTCTTTTTCTGTTGGGGAAATTTCTCCATAACAGGGTGAAAGAGGAAAAGAGACAACTGGTCTCATCATTAATCCTGAAGGTTCCTCAGCATTTCTCAATTCTAGAATGATGATGGACAGCTGCAAATGAAAGCAACTCTTGGTAAAACACACAGAATCAAACAGAACAAATGTATATGCAAAACATTGACGGCTTGTTTGGCAAAGTGGACTACATGTTATCCTGTTTAGTATAACGTACCAAACATGCTCTAATGGAAAAGGAACAAACTAACAGATAAATAAAAGATACCAATGATGATGGTGTCTTACGGAAAGTAAAGGCCTATTATCAATGCTAGCACCGGGCATATCCATGGGAATCGTGACTTCTCTGTCTTGGTTTTCTACATGAGATGTGAAGTCGGCAAGGTTCAACATTCCAGTTGCAATAATAGGGATTTTGCCATTTGTTCCATGCTTCGATCCCTAATTCACAACAACGGATCAGTATTCGGATATTCAAAGAGATGTACCATCAGCATATTCCCATGGTTTATGAAGCTGACTAGTTCAACCTATTCCCCCTGTTTTTGAGTTTAAAATAATCACTAAAGCAGGGTATATGCCATAACAGTCCTAATCAATAAAATCGACCAAATTGTGGAACAGAATATAACAGTAATTTTTATCTTCATTAGGATCACCACAAGATCAAGGGCCTCAAACTAAGCGCACATTTGTCACAGTACCAGACATTAGCGGACGTATATTGACAGGGTTTGAACTTTTTTCTGTATTGTTATTCAGCACTATTCAATCAACCTTACCAAACATGCCATAAATTCACACGCATATTCCGACAACGCGAACTAGACTGGAAAACTAAGAATCAAATTCTAGTAGACTGCAAGAGAATGAACCTGAAATAGTAACTCGACAATTCAATAACAACCCAAAGAAATCATCCTATTAATTCCAAAATTTTCCAAACAAAAACACTCGAGATCAAACATTTTTCATCCCAAAGGTAAAAACTAGAGAAAAATGCAGGATCAATCTATTGAAAAAGAAATCCAAAAATTTACATCAATTTTTCCAAAAACAAGATTTTCTATTGCCTCATTTTAAACTTTGCATACTAATGAATTTAATGTTCTTACTATTTATCATCATGATCTTCTCAGCAAAAAATGCTAAGCCAATTAAGCTTTTTTTTCTTTTTTTTTTTTTTATTAACACCACCATCTCCAAAACTCAAATCCATAAAAAATAAAGAAAATCCCGGTTGAAAACTCACATTAAAAACAGTAAATGAAACCTCCCAAGGATGAAACAAACCCTCCTTGTAAGCTAACAAATTGCACACATTCTGAAACTTTTCATTCCACTCGACAACTCCATCTTCTTTTAAAGTTTCCTCCTTTGTGAAATTCCTTCTCACACTTCTCCTTAAAGTCCTCAAAGCATTGGCCTTTGATCCCTTCCACTTGATCTCAACCACAAATCTTGCAGAATCTTGTAGTTCTGATGATAACATCAGGCCCTTAATTTGATGAATGGTGATCTTGGCCTCAAATTTCTTGGATGAAATGGAAGGCCATGGCCTCCACTTCATCATCTTCACTACCATTCTTCTTCTTCCTTTTTTACCAAAAAGATTATAAGTTGAATAAACACTTTTGACTTTTGATGATCAAGGATGAGGATCAATCTGTTAAAAGTATATAAAAAGTTTATAAATTTGGATGGGTTGAGTGTTTTTGAAGAAGTGGGGTATTTGGAGAATGGCTCTGATTATAAGATGAAATTTAAAAGTTAGTTTTAGCGAGAGATCTATACGCATGGTGATATAGTGATTATTTGTTGTGCACAACCACTTCCACTAGGCAGACGCAGGAGAGAGAGAGAGAGGGGCAAGCCGGCTGTAAAATATTCACCTAGGAAATAACGTACGTATCTCTTTCTACCGGTAAAATTACCCACATATTTTTTCCCAATTTTTTTTAAGTAACGCTATTTAACTTCGCTGGATTACAATTCCAAGTGATTTTAATGTGGCATTAAATGATAAGTGATTTTAATGTGGCATTAAATGACAGATGAGGGCCATACGGGACATGATGTAGTATTACTGGTGCTTAATAGGAAAATAGGTGACAGTGAGTTTATTGATTTATCATTTATTGAATTGAATAATTTACTTTTTTTTCATTTTATAATAATTAGTAACTCCACTGTCATCTAGGCAGTTATTAAAGTACCAATAATGTTAACTTATTTGAATTATGCTACTTGTACATAAAAATTATACATAAGAGATTACATAAAATAAAGTGGAGGAAAAATATGGGATGGAAAAGTTGACAGTGTTGTAAACTGACAAATGATATATTGACATATGACTAGGAGCGGACCTAGACCTTTAGTATTGTGGGGTCAAAATTTTAAAAATAATTTTTTTAATAAACAACATAATATCAATGAAAATAAGTTAATATATATTTTGACACTTGGAAAATGTCGTATGATTACATCGTTATTAATATTATTAAATAAATTTTGCTACTTGTATAGTTTTGTTTATCGTTTCACTGACAAATGCTGAGCTAACATTGAGTTAATTAAATTGAATATAGAAATTAAATAAATTGAAATAAAATTCAAGTTTAGTTTAGAGAAGTAAATGAAATTCAAATTTAAAACAAATATAATTCGAAAGTAATTCAAATTGCATTTGATCCGTAACAACCCTAAAAAATTTACGTCATATTTCATGTAAGACTTCCGAATTAAACGATATAAATTATATTGAAAAATTTATCTTGTAAAAATAATAATTAATTGGATTTTTTAAAAGGAAAAACGAGTTAGACGTCTTTTTTGAGGCGTACGTTTTTTAGCTATTTTCGATATCCGTTTGGACTATTCGATATGAAAATGATGTAGTTTTCGAAACAAACTTTCACATGTCATAGACGATTTGTAGATTCAGATAGCACATGATCGCAAACGAATTTTTAAAGTTATGATATTATCGAAATTCTCAAAATACTAGTTTCAAACGGCCTACTTTAACATGTCATAACTTTTGCTATAGTTGACCACTTCTCATGCCATTAATAAGTAAAAAACTAGGTCATGAACACTTCAAAATAGTATTAAAAAATGTAATATTTTGACTTTATTTGACATCCCGACGAGTGCATCAAAATAGATTTAAAAAAAATAGACAGGGGCAAAACTTTGTGGGGTCATTTGACCCCACATGACCCCATGTGGGTCCACCCCTGGATATGACACTATGTAATTCATTATGTAAAACTTAATTTACATGTAACAAAGTCCAACTTATTTTATTTTAATTCTTAACATTCTCATTTTTGTTATATAAAATTTTATAAACATCTTATCTTTGAATGAATCCACACTAGGAACCATGACGTTCCTTATTAACAATCGAACCTAATTACCTTATATATCAAAATTAGAGAGAACGTGAATCGGTTATATTCACGTTATAATTGAAAGGATAGAATGATATTATCTACTTGATTTAAAACATGAATCTTAAAGTATTCATAAAATTTTGACTTAACGCTGACGCTCGTCTAATGTCATTGATTGAAATTATGTGACCACCAATTAACAGACACTAAAGATATTTTCTTGAATAAATTTGTGACAATTAATTTCGGTTTAATGCGAAATGAATAAGAATTTAAGACAGAACCATTGGTTGTGTGACAACCAAAATTAATTTAATGTAAAAGCCTTTTCAATCAAATTCTCCCTATCAATGTTCTCATTAATCTAGAAAGAAAAGTAACCCTAATCTTAAACTCAAGTTACCCTAATCTTCATTAATATTTTTATAAAATATTGATAGTTTTTTGAAGGGTTACTGTCCTTCTTAAAGTATGTTTGGCACAAATTTTTCAAGAAAATAAATGATTTTTTTTTTTTAAGAATGTACGATTAAAAAGTGAAATATATATATTTGACAAACAATTCTTTAGTAGTATATATTTACAACAAAAATTATGACTGTTATTATATTATCCCGTAAATATTGCGATAAATAGAACGAAGTGTAAAAAATTTCTATAGCTGATTTTACATCTATTTGAAAATGAATCTTGTTAAATGTACACTATGGTGTACACTTTAGTTTACACTTTATCACGTGTCATTATCCTATTGGACAGTTTAAATTTCAAACAATTTTTTCATCCAATTAACATTTGACAACAATGCAAGTGTCAATCAAAGTATCAAAAATCAGTGTACAAATTGCAAAGTTCATTGAAAATATAATTAACTTTTTTGTTAGTCTATTTTACTAAGAATTAAGTTTAGACAAACACAAAACGCCTTGACCAATAAATTCTCCGTATTCTTCTCAAGGCTAGTGAGAAGACAAAAACTAGGAAAATTTTATGGAAATTAACGCCGTGATTAAATAAACCGAAAAGGATGTTGGTTAAGATTAATCTGGCGGTTTTTTATTAATGATGTCTTGATTAAGATTGTTTTGTGGACAGAATTAAATAAAAAATAAAAAAATCTGGCGGACAAAAACAATTTATAATTTATGTAATAACGTATAAAATTGGAATGTGACATTCCTGGGTGGAAATCATGATATCATAGGTTGAATATGGCCAAACATGGATGAAAATGAGTGGCCAACATCAACTAAATTCTTGCAAATTATTCCCAAAATGCTGCAAGCACTTGGAATCAATCAATTCTTATATACAATATGCTGCCCAGATGAACGTACTGTACCAATGGTTCATTGTTGAAACGATCATGCTACATATTTAGGATTAAATTCAAATAGGACACGTGTCGACACATGATTAGATAGTTTGAAATTTTTTTAAAAAAATACTCAATCATTTTCTATCATATCAGTCTGTCTCTTCACTCCCTATTTTTCAATCTGGCTAAGTGGCTTTATCTCTAGAGTTTTGAATAGTCGGAGTGTACAATTTTATGTTTTATTCCACTCGTTTTTAATTTGATCAGTTGATCGAAAAACCTGTAATATTTAAATTAAAATTTTTATTTAATTTTTTAATTCTTTGTTGAGAGCAATGAGTTGACATCACATCTTCCCTATTGTGTTCTTTTTCTGCTTTTGTCGAGTGGTTTACATAATAATAGGTAGCCTTCAGGCTTTAACTCCATCAATTTCCTATAGGTTGTGGGGTTACGATTTGACCATGCAGTGGAGCATATTTCAATAGTTGAAGGTAAAAATTTAAATAAATATATTATTATTATTATTGAAAGTTAAGGGCTTGAATCTTGACATCAGTTATTTATGAAAACGTCCCGACTATAATCTTAAGAATTAATTTGTTGTCAGATTTGGATAAAAATGGAAAAGAAAATGTTATAAGAAATTTTTAATCTCAGCTTAATCTTTTTTAGAAATTCGAAAGAAACAATAAGAGAGAGAGAGAGAGAGAGAGAGAGAGAGGGAAAAAAGAACAAATATAATCAATAGAAGAAAAATATTTAAAGTCGTAGAAGGGATGAGAAACCAGAAAATATTGTAAGAACAAAAAAACATATTGAAAAAGTTCTTTTGTGTAAGTCTTCCAAAATCTTGAGGTGAATAGACGATAAATTTTAAAATTTTATTTTTGTACTTTTTTGCTTAAAAGTTAGTACTCAAGAGATTTTTATAAAAGTCTTTAAAGGTTATTATCGTTTTGAATACTCATGACCGGTAGAAACTTCTAAAAATTATTAATTGAATATATTTAGAAGTATCTATCTATTATATCAATACTTTTCTTCGATCGTGCTAGACATACAAAAGGCTGGTCTATAGAAATCCCACAGAGTGACGTGACATCTGCTTAATAAAAATAGGCCAGCCACAAAACACAAATTAAAAAATTAAAAAAAGAAACTCAGTTGAATCTTTGCAAGTCAACTAGGTCACAATGTAATTGTTCGGAAAATAAGAGAAGTGCTGGCTACACAAGCCCTGTGATACAGGCCAGAAACATGCCGGGGGGGGGGTGATTTTTAAAAATATAAATACAAGTAATTCGGCACACCTAAAATCTTTCGTGACACAATCAAACTCGACTCCAAATTGAGCATGTCAAAGTCGACTCTGAATTGAGCATCAGAGTCAAGTTGGATATGACTTGTTAATTTGGGACTAAGCAATGGAACTTATACACTTAGAATTTATGGTATTAACATGCTCCAATAAATTTTTCACTTTAAAAATATTACATTTTACATTACTAAAATTTGCTTACAAAATCAAAGATCTGCAATCAAGTAGTTTATTTTGGTTGTGCCATAAAAATAATCATTAGGTTTGAAGAAATGCATCGGGCTGAAACTTTATTAATTACACCATGAATTCTTCCACGGCTGTTTGTGCTATCCCACCACCGTATCCTGCACCAAATCCAAATCCACTACCAGATCCTCCACCCAATCCGCCTCCACCACCGCCTCCGCCACCAAAACCTCCTCCTCCTCCTTGAGCACCACCTCCAAACCCACCACCAAATCCTTCTCCGAAACCAGAACCACCCCCTGTTCCTCCACCTCCACCGCCACCACCACCCCCACCGCCACCGCCACCTCCTAAATGATCAAAAATGAATTTTGCATCATCGAAAGAACCGTCTGAGCCAACTAGCTTTCTCGCGGTGGTGGTGCAAATAAGAACACCAAGAAGAACCAAAAGAACAAATTTGGAAGTCATCTCAATATGCAAGGAAAAGATAGCCTTGATGATGAGAATTTGGGACATGAAGACGTGATTATATAATGCTTGAATATCATTTATTTGCATTAAAGTTTATGCTTGAATTAATGTGTGTGTTAGTGGGGGTCTCATTAATTTGACGGTTATTAAGTAAGTACTAGTGATTTAATTTATTTTTTATAGTTATTGATGTTTATATTCCTCAGTGGTTTATACACGTTTTCATATCTTTCCAGGCGTTTGGCTATTTATGAAACTCGTTTTAATTCATATTTAATAGTTCAACAATTCAGATTACACAGTAACGTAAATTTCCATTCCAATTTTCATGGGTTATTTTTCTAAATCTTATCTAGATACAACAAAAATGTAGAGATTGAAATTAAGACCCAGATTTTAGAATTTGATTAAAATTTATTAGAATACGAATTGGAAATTTGTTTGAAATAGTGGGTCCCATAAAATGTGTGATTAAAAACATATTTATGAAAATAATAATAATAATAATAATAATAATAATAATAATAATAATAATAAATAAACAAAGGCCAAAATGTTCTTTCCTTAACTCCAAGTGACGGCAGTTAATGAGACAAGTCAATCTTGATTAATTTGAAAATCTCCAACCTCTTGCAGTTTCATTTTAAAAAATGAAAAAAAAAAAAAAATCTATACTTGTTCATTACAAAAAATAAAGAGGTGCATAAAGCTCAATCATTTGGTTGTTATTCATATAATCAATTGTAACATTTTTAGGACAGTCTAAGTAATTTTTACATTACAAAAAAATTCAATTCATATTAGCACAACATTTGAAAATTTTGAACATTTTGCGACACTTTCACGACATTTGTTATGATATTTTTAGTCTATAACTCACTTGAAAGGTGCTATTTTGAAGTCAGAGTCTAGATATTATTATTGTTCCAAAATTTCTCCATATTTTCAGATTTAAGTGGTTATGCCTATAAAGGCATGATGCGGGTCCCTAACCTTCTTCCACCCAAATTTGTCTATAAGAATAATGGTGTTTGAATAGGGTAAAAGACATGCAAAAAATGGATAAACTGACTTGACAGCACCTATTTGGATTCTTTATTTTTATTTTTTGTATTTTTCAAATTGACCAATCATGCATCAATATGTCCCCCCCCCCCCCCCCCCCCACCCCCCC